AGACACTTATCAGCAACTAAGGGAGTTTGACTTGAAATCGGAGGAAATGAGGTTATCGTCCTCTCTGAAGGTCATCATATTGAGGACAATGACCAAGCTCAATCAAAGGAAAAAACTGGGGAGACCACTTTCCTTTAGGCTATATGTGTTTTTAATTTCTAAAATATTAAAATTATTATTTTATTCGCTCTCAATTTTTTACTACTAGTAATGATATTAGCGTGACTAAAACAATATTTTTTTGAGATTAAAGAGACAAACAATAAATTTTAAATTTGAAGACTAAAATAATAGTTTTTGATATGTAAGAGTCTATACAAATTTTAAATTTGAAGATAAAAAAATATATACTCCAAATTTAGGAGATTAAAAATATAATTAAATTAAAATATAATTATAAAATAAAAATAATTCTTAATAATGATAAATATTATATTTTATAGAAAAAAATTCTACCACACAAGCATACAATCCATATATCTAAAATAAAAAAAGTACAACCAAATAACTAGGAATAGAAAGACAAGGATACTAGAAACATAACTAATGGATTTAGATGAATGATTTAGGAAGTTCATGAAAAAAGAATAAGAATTTTTTTTTCATACATGAATTTCTTGAATGAATTTAAGAAGGGAAAAAGTTGTTTTCATTATTATATAGTATTGAATATAAATTATTAATATTATAATTTTAAATATATTTAGAGTCAGTTGAAATATGATGTTTTTCTAATTAGTCTTCCTTTATATTTTTGTGAATTTTATTCCTTACATTTAATCTAATTTCTTATAAAATATTTGTAAGAAAATCTAAAAAGTTTCACACTTTTATGTTAAATTATTTAATCTAATATTGACTCATATATTTAAGGAATGACTTTTAATGAAAATATGTCCAATGTGATAGTTGTTAGATTTAAAATATATTAAAAGTCATTGGAGATTATTTTAAAGTTATTAAATTAATTCCCTTCCTTCTCACTTCATTAAGGGAAATTTTGACAATAAAGAAAAACTAATTTAAAAAATAAATTAATAAATAAATAAATGGAAGTTATGGATGTTAAGAGGTGGTTTTTTTACAAAAGGATAACCACTTTTCTTTTCATGACTGCTTTTTTTTCTTCATGACTACATTCATGAAGGTTTTTCTAAAGAAAGAAAAGAAAACAAGGAGAATTGTCAAGAATATGTAAAAAGGGTTTTCAATAACATCAAGAAATCTGTTCTCACCTGAGATTGGTCTAGAGACGACTTATCTGATGAGATTGGTGAGCCACCTCTAGTTTACAAGTCGGTCACTCCGAGATGGGGTGATACCTGCAAAAGAGACTCCAATGGTCATTGATAATGTAGATGTCTTGTGTATATATAGCATGGCACCTTGATGATTTTCTAGGGTTTTTTCTCCCTTATGCGAATATCTTTATTTGTTAAGATAAGATTGCCTACTTATCTCTTTATCCTATCAGTTAGGGAATGATCCTGTTTTTGGCCAATGTGACGAGGTGACTCAAGGGAAGAAGTGGCCATTGTAAGTCGGCATGAATTACATGTCTTTACCCCTTGACCGAGCTTGTTTACTTGGTTGAGCTTGACCGAGTTTGCTCACTCGGTCAGATTGGTACAAAATCAATTATAAGAAGTAAGAGAAGGAAGAACAATTTATCAGAAAATTGAATTGCATTTATGGATTCATTATGTCTTCTATATTTCTCATAAAATGATTAAGTATAAGAATAATGAGAAATATATTATCTAAGATCCTTAAGATTATGGAGTGTAATTATCTTGAATGATGAACACTATGAAATTACACATGATTATAAAAATTATCTAATATTTTAATATTGAGAATTAACTTATATTATTTTTAATATAAATAATTTAAAGTTATAATGCAAATAAATCAAAGTAATGAAGATATTTTTCACATCCTGACTAATTTAATCTAAAGATAAACTATAGTAGGACTAAATATATATTATATTTGACTTTCACTATTAAACTAACCTTAATATTCATAAATTAATCTGATCTAATTTTAATTTTTTTATAATTTAAAAATTATAATCAAATTCTCAGAAATTAACATAGTTAAATCTATGTTAATTTATGGTAAATCCCCATATCACTACCGAAAGACATTTTCAATTTATTTACTGTTGTCCAAGATCGGGTACCAGGTCGTGAAATTGGTGGATAATAAATATGAGAAAGTCATCCTAATTTTGTGTCAACAATCAAATGGACTCCCAAGTCTGCACTGTACGATTTGCATGATTTTCATTGCATCGGCAGTTGATATTATTTTACCCTGCTTAACTTATTTTCGACATGGTTTAATTTCACCATTTGAACTCGTTTCTGGAGAGGTACTGGGAGTCCAATCCGTGATCACCAGTCTTTCTTAATTATAGAAAGGTTCCAACCCAACCACCTAAGTTCGACCCAACCCATTTAAAATCCACCTACTCACATATCTGAGTCAATCACACAGTCTGATCTATCCAAAATAGAAGTTAGTCATGGCATGCCGATCTTATCGCGATTAAGGTATTAATTTAGTATTGTTTTCTCTTTTCTTACCCTTTATTTACTATAAGTAGGACACATCTTATATATAAACAAAAAAAATGTTTAAATTTTTATACACAAAAATATAAATATATTTTAATCAAGTCAATGTTCTTTAATGTTTTTGTTCTTACCAGAAACAACTAGGCCAATGACATCATCAAGTAAGATCTACTTCTAGTCTTGTAGCCTGACATATTTAGGTTCCGGTGAGTGAACATACTCAAAAGATTTACGAGAAACATGTATATTAGTCTTAAACTTAACTTTATGAGATTTTTTTAATATGTAATGATTACAAAAATCTAGTTTATCCAATTTATCACCATTCAACATATTTTGTTTTCCTAGTTTCACTAAACCTTTTTCACTAACATGCCTAAGCCTCAAATACCATAATTTTGCGGGGGTAAGGCTGCGTACATCTACCCTCCCCAGACCCCACTAGGTGGGAGCCTCGTGTACTGGGCCGCCCTTATAAATGCATGAACAATAACATTATAACCATAAAAATGTACAAACTATTTCTTTTAGTTTCCTTAACAACTATTAAGACATCATTAAAGATCTTCATCATACCATGTTCAATTTTAGTAGAATAACCTAAATCATCAAACATGCTTATTGATAAAACATTCCTCTTAAGTCCAAAGACATACTGCACATCTTGTAATAGAATCTCACGATTATCAAATATTCTTAAATGGGCAATACCCATACCTTCCACCTTGCAAGCTTTGTTGTTGTCAAAAAGCATCACTCCATTTTTTTTAAGTTTCAAAGTCTCAAAGAAATCCTTCACAAGACACATGTAGTAAGTACATTCAGAATCCATAACCCAATTCCTTTGCATTTTTAATGCTGATGCCACCAACACTGCTACACTTTCATAACCATCTGAAACAACAACATCCAAAAAATATATAGAGCTTTTGGATTCCTTATCTCTTTTCTCAAGACAATCTCTCTTGTAATGACCAATCATATGTCAGATATAACATCTAGGGTTAAACTTAGTGTCACTTTTCCATTTTGATATAGACTTATTTTCATTTGGTCCTTTCTTCTCATTCTTTCCCTTTGAGATGTTCAAGCTTTCACCATTATCCTCTATCTTCAACTTTTGATTATTTTGAAGTTCCTTAGTTTGAATTGAGGTCTGAATCTAATCCAAGATAACGACTTGATCTTTTCAATATAGAATAGTATCCTTGAAATTCTCAAATGATTTTGGTAAAGAGTTGAGTAGGAGCAAAGCTTTATCCTTATCTTCAAGCTTCACCTCAATATTTTCTAAGTCATCAAGAATCTTTTTAAAATCTCCATGTTGTTCTTGAACCGATCTTGTTTCTGTCATCTTAAAATACTAAAATTTTTGCTTTAAACATAATTGATTTGCCAAAGACTATGTCATGTATAAAGATTCTAGTTTGACCCACTTGGTAGCAAGACACAAGATGATAACCTCTCTAAAGGCTTTATCAGCAAGACACAAGATGATAACCTCCTTGCCTTATCAATCATCTTGTTCTTTTCTTTTTGTGATAATAATCTAGACATTTTTACGTCACCCTTCAGAGCTTCTGTAACTCATTGTTGCAGCAAGATAGCTTCCATCTTTATCTTCAATAACCCAAAGTCATTCTTCTCTAAAAACTTGTCGATATCATATTTGGTTGTTCCCATGATTCAACCTTTCTTTTTCTTTCTTCTTTTCCCACATACAACGCCACTTGTTGGTTCTAAAATAAGAAAGAAAGCAAACAAGAACAAACCTTATGCAAGAACAAACACAAAAAAAAACGTAGAAACAAGAATATCCAACAAGAACGTAAAATGTAAACATAGAAAAAGCGTAATAGCAAATGAAAAAGATTGAGAGACGAGAACACAATAGATTTACCCGATTCAGCCAATTAGGCCTACATCCACATGAGAGAGTAGATTCCGTTGTCTTAAAACAAGACCAAGTCTTTATGACAGAGCAACCTCTTGCTCTTCTCAGAAATTCCTTAATCTCTCTAATTGGTTCTCTTTTTCTCTCTACGTATCTTCTTCCCAGTTCATTGTACTTACACTTAGCACTTTGATCTCACACTTCCTCTCTTTGTGTCACTCTTAGAAAGGATCCCCAAACAAATATATATAGGGATCCAAGACACTAAGACTAAGTCTTATAAAACTGGATGGACTAAACCCACCAAGTTAATGAAAACAAACTTATAGTTTGAACTCATCAGTTTAATGGAGATAGACTGAATGTATAAAACTATAAAGACGAAAGACTTTACAAATCATACAGATGATACATTAGATTTTGATTCATAATAAGCATTACATTTGTGCTAAAAATGCTGTCTTGATGCAATTGATCTTAAGTCAGAAAATGATGAATCTGCTCAAGAGGATATGACAACAAAAGTTGAGAAAGATTTTCAGTTCATTATCACTAGACATATACATTTATGGATTCCATGTACAAGTGTATCTATATCGATCAGTACAAAATTGAGTCCCAGCTAGGTTGGACTAATGGTTAAGAACATTAAGAAGGGAAACTCTGATTTTAATCAAACGCCTGAATAGAAACTCAAGTCCTTCTTCAAAGTCTTGAATGCACGATTCCATTTTCTCCAAGTGGTTTTGCAGATTGTTTATGTCTTCAAATTTGCAAGTCTTGGTAAATATGAAAGATTGCAATGCTGCATCCACCAGGGCAAATTCACTTTCATCTGCCGCTAGGGAGCAAGCCACTCTTTTGGGTTGAATTAGCTGGGAAATTGAAAGCCATCGGTTTGCCTTTGATTGTGTTGAGCCTGAGATAAATTGCAGCAGTGATTGAAATGTTGATAGTGTAGCCACTTCCACTTCCTGCAATATGCTAATCAAAGCCACTGTTTGGTGGCTTTTATTTGTAGCTGATGAGATGTTATAATTCTTTGAAGTGCCATTCAAATTTGCCAAGGCTTTGGAGATGGCCTTTTTCACTACTTTTCTAGATGTCAAGAATTTTTTAACCTCTGCTGTCAGCTCCACTTCACCACCCCTCTTCCTTCTTATCATTGATTGAAGTTCACGTGTGCATTCTTTTGTGTGCAGCAAAGCATCTTTGGCTGCTGTACACACATCTAAGAGCCTTAAGGATCCATCCAAAAGCTCATCCACCCAATTCTCTTGATGCTCATGAACAAGAACATCTTGAGTGAGGGGAAGCTGAATCAATTTTTCAACACACTCAATCAAATCTTGCAAGCCTCCTACCTTATGTCTCAGTGATGAAGAAGAGGAGGTTTCATTGGAAGCCCTTAAGCTCTCCAACTGTTCATTGCATTTTAGAATGAGAGGGTGTGGTCTAGAGGGCAAGCTATTTGAGCGACCGTGAGATTTTGGGTTCAAAGGAGAGGATGTCATTTTTCACCAAGAGAAGAGAAGAGAAGAGAAGACTTGATTTTGATGAAGAATTGAGTCTATGGATCTGCCCTTCCAATGGCATCTTGTCAATATATATAATGGCTGTAGGAGACATAAGGAATCTCTTCTTAAGCAAATATCAATGAGGCTAACTAATCGAGATTTGGATCTAAAACAATTACATAAATGTTAGAACAGTGTCTCTCCCAAGGAAACTGTCCAACTCATATTTTGTCTCAACTTGCATGATTATGACATTTTCAATGCAAATGCCTCACCTAAAACGTGTTTTAGCCTTAAATGAAACTCATCTACACGTGTGGACTGCTGTATTAATATGTTAAAACAACCTTTACATTGCCTCTCTTGAGAACAAGAATCGCCTTGTTCTCACATATAAGCTTTAACTTATATATTAATATTAATATAAAGCCAATCCTTGGTCTGCCCACTGACGGACCTGCGCTGTTTTCTCAATGGTATATCATTCTTTGCAACTTACAAGAGTATATAAAGATGCAATACACGTGTGCACGATTAAAACAGATCACAACAAGTGAAGTCAAACCCAAGCTTTTTCCCCACTTTTTCTGTTTCAAGCTTACCATGGATGTTGTTTTTCTGTTGGTTATGCCATATATTCATCTTAGAAGAGCATCTAATAAAAATTGTTATCTAAAGATAAATACGAGTATAAAATGTCACTAGGATTAAGTTAATGGTGAGGGACTTTGGTAGCGTATATGAAGTCATGAGTTGATTACCATCATTGTATCAAAAATGAAAAAGAAAATGTTCCAAAATCCAGCATTAGATTTTTTTTTTTGTCAATTATATTTCTTTTACTAATTTACTAAAAGTCTTTGAGATTTATATCTTTAGTCATACTTAATGCTCGATGGTCATATTTTCAATTAAGCTTATGGATCTTGCATAATGTCGTTTAAGTGAGCAATAAAAATTGGATTATCATAGTTGTAATTGAATTATATTAATGTGTTATGTAATTCCAACTCTCTCATTCACTGTAGATTAAAATATGATATCGATTAGCTTTCTCTCATAGCAGGAATCTAATCATCTTCTTTTTTAACCTACATTAGCTTATAAAAATTGAGAATATGTGTAGTACAGGCATTTAAATTTTGATTTAATCATCGACCTAATGGCAATTTTAAGCTTGACAGCTACGAAACTTATTCAAATTGACTTTGAAGCACATGTGGGTTCAATGCTTGATTTGCAGAATTTTCTTTTATTTACTAACAATTTACAGTTTTCTAATCATGAGGAGACCTTACTCCTCCTTAATTTGACCTTTCATTTCATTTTCCTTCTTGAATTGATGAAGAAGGCTGATCAAATTGCTATAGGTTTGAAATAATAATATTTCTTTACCCTTTTCTTTTCCTTTCACTTATTTGACGTGAACATTTGAAAGAAAAAAGGACAATTGAAAGATGAGATTTACACTTGTTCTGCAGAAAGAACAAAACTTAATTCACATTAAAGTACAATTGGGAGACAGAACTCATGGAGTCAAAATTGAGTACACAAAAATCATAGAGATGTTCTATGATTAGTGATTGAAGATGTTGAGAAGAGAAACTCGGTTCCTAATTAGTTTTCTTGAAAGGTGCTCGATTCCTATTTCTAGATCTTGAATTCACATCTCCAAATTTTCAAGATGGCTTAGGAGATACTCAATAGATGAAGGTTTGTGACCGAAGAGAGACTAAAAAGCTGCATCCACCTTCTCAAATTCATTTGAGTGATTCTTGAGAGTGATGTGTGTATAAATTGTCTTTGCATTCATACTTTAGTTTAGGCCATTTGCATATATTATTGCATTGATTGAATGATTTTGTCATGCATTATCTTTGTTTTATATTACACTTTTGATTTTCTTGTTTTTCTTTGTAAATAAGTGTTTTAGGTGCTTAAATCATTGTTTAAAGAGAGCAAGTATCAAGATGGAAGAGTTGAAGTCAGAAAATTCCACAGATAGGTTGTGGGCTTGGGCCAAATGAAAAGAA